AGATAGATAGATATATAGATAGAGAGAGGGATAGATAGATAAATAGATAGTGAGATAGAGAGATAGATAGATAGATAGATAGAATAACAGCTGCCATTAAATCACACTGTTCTGTTTTAATGCTTTTTGTAAATTGTGTAAATGTATAAATTCATGAAACTTCTAAAAAAAGAAATGACAAAGTTTCTTCGACAGATGAAAAATTGATTCATGAGCAATAAAACTCTTCATGTGATTTGAGCTTCAGCTTTCAGAAACCTGATGTGAGCAAACACTGGATCAATACAAGCGACATTATTTATCGAACTCCTGCTACATTAGCATTTAGCGTTATCATCCTGTGACTCATCATTTAACCTGCTTGGTTCATCTTTTGTCGTAAAACAAAGTGACGGTGCTGCGTCTGCCGACCAGATACAAGCAGGCACACATTCCCCGAACACGACTTTGCAATGTGAACACAATGATGAAAGTTCAATAACAAAGATCTGTTTTCTCATGTTCGCATTCTTTGAGTGTAGAGTCACAAATATTCTCAGAGTTTATTGAGTCAGACACTTGTGGGGAAAAGAAAAGTCACGAAAGCAGAAGGAAAGGCTTAAATATTCTCTGAGGTTTTAAAGTCGTTAATATGCAATAATAAAAAATTCTTTTAGATGGAAGTCACGAATGTTTAAAAAATAAAAACTGACAAAACTTTATTCAAGAGCAAAAACTAAAGAAATGTAATGTTGACATTTTCCTGCTTTTCTATACGTGCATCTATCCATGAATGGATGAATGAACATCTTTTTGATGGATGGATGAACAGATGGATGGATGGATTCTGGCCAGTGTCAGTGTCACTTTAAGACTGGAACACATTTAACATTCATACCTTTTATAAGTAAACTGTAAATGTAAAGTTTATGTACATTAATAAAGAGTGTTAACAAACCTGTTCGAGAGGCCACAGCAGCTGAACTCTGACTCTGTTTCCAGTTCTCAAACTTTCAGTTTTAATATCACTTCTCTCTGAGACTTCTCACACTCAGTAACAAGGTGTTTGTAATGGAACAAAAAACTGTTTCTGTTGAGTTCATCAATCATTTATTTGGGTGAATTATTGTTTTTTCAAGATAAACGATCATCATAACTGTGCCTCTGCTCCAAATAATTCTCTTTCAGTTTGTGCTTTCAGTCAATAACACTAGAAATGTGCACATTTTACAGCTGGAAGAATTAAAAACCTGTAAAACTAGCAGTTAATTCAAGTAGGGGGTGAAAAACTAGAAATGTATTTGTTTTCCACTGGTTGCTCAAAGTAGAAATGTTGAGTGTCATGAATTCATTCCCAGTTCAGACGCAGTTCTAACTTGTACTTTTACAGCAAATGTTCCCCTGAAGATTGTGTTTAAAACTGATTTCCTGCTTGATCACTGGTTTCCTGTGTGTTGAGGTGAGGTGGGCAGACCTCACCTCCACATTCAGCTGCTGTGGGTGCATCCAGAGTCATGATGCTTCATTACAATGCAACACACCCAGCTCAGTGCACTCACACAGCAAATCTCATGCCCTTAAAAGGAGCTTTTTTCCACTGCCTGTCTCTGAGCAGGCCTGCGTCCCTGTGGGCCGGCTCCTGTGCACACTCTACTGGTGGAACATGGGACAATGGGACGAGACAATGAAGACCCAGCAGCTCGACATGTCACTGCAGCACGCTACGTGTTCACATGTCGCTCTGTGTTTGTGATGTGTGTCTTTGACTGTGAAATGAAATGAGCTCAGAAACATCAGAGCACATCAGCTGCAGTCACTTCGGATTGACTGACCAGGATCAACAACTCACACGGAATGAAAACTGTCTGATTCATGTTTTCTTTCATTTCTTTTATATTCGATGAGAGTTTAAGTACTTGATATTCTTTTTCCTTGGTAAATATTACTTCTAATCTTTAAAAGTAACAGTACTTATACTTTTTTATGGGTAACACAAGATGCCTGATCAAGTTTTTTTTGTTCATCATGAACAGAATCATGCTCCATTAATATATTCATGAGGCAAACCACTAATATTATAATGTACCTGTATGTATGTGATCCCAGGACAACTTCTCTGAATAAAACATTTTTATATTACTTCAACTACTACGACTACTACTAGTAATAACAATAATACCACCAGTATAATTATTCTTGATAATAAAAATTACAACCACTGTATTAATCATAACGACAGTATTCATGATGTAATACTAACAACAACAACAACAACAACAACAACAACAACAACAACAACAACAACATTAATAATAACCTCCCCCCGCCTCTTGACATCATGGACCAATCACAATGAAGCCAGAGAAGATGCGGCTCCTCTGATTGGCTGATGTGGCTGTCGTCACTGTCAGCACCCGGAAGTTGACGCTGTGTTGTCAGTAGAAACAGGATGTTATCGGAGCTGCTGTAATTCAAAAGGTCAGAAACACTCACACACTGTCTGTGATGTTGTCCTTTGATCATGTCTTTGATTTATTTTATCCAAAGAGTTTAATAATCAGCCGTTTCCGTGTGTTAGCTTGTTAGCTAGCAAACATCCAGCTACACATCGTTGACACTCAGGCACAGTGTGTTCTGAAATACTGATATTAAAATGGTTGATTGGTTTGTAGAGAACATCTGAAGATCCTTATTAAAACACAGGCAGCAGCAACATGAAGTCAAAGATCCTGAACACATGAAACTTCTCGCTGTGTTCTGTTATCGTAGGTTTTCTTTTATGAAATCATTATTGTAGTATTACTTAGTTCAGGTGCCAGTTGAGCTGAAGTGAACTGGAGCTGCTCATTTTATAAATGTTCAATAAACAACAGACAAAAATACTAAGTTATGTTTTTACTTCTGACAGTTTTTACAACCTGAAATAAAATAAAACGACCTCATATAAATACAAATATCTGTGGAGAATTCATGTGCATTATTCTGAACATCATCCAAACTATCAGCTGTTCAACAAACCCACGATTTAAACACTGTTCTCGATATAAACAAGCAAATAACCTGTGATTAAAATTAATTTAATGACTGAAACAACCTTCAGATATTCAAACAACTGTGTTTGTTTGAATGTAAAATGAAGCACATATTTATATTTATATTTAAATTGCAGTACAGCTTGTTGTGTTTTATCACTAATAAAGTGTGAGCGTGCGATTTGGTTTTTGGTCTGTGATTTATTTTCTTACATTTTTTTCGCCCACTGGACGTAAACATAATGTCACTGTGTGTTCTGCCACACTTGTGTGTTGGACTGTAGAGCACCATGGGGAACACTGAGAGCGTGGTGGTGCAGAAGCGGCTGGCCCGCTTTCGCCCCGAAGAGCGGCCTGTGGTCGAGGGGGTGTTCGACAGGCTCCAGGGGGATGCTGGGGGTTCGGCAGGAGCCTCCCAGAAAACACCAGCAGGAAAGAATCTAACGCTTGAGATGCTGCAGGTCTGTTCACAAAAGCAGTTTGTGTAATTAGTCATAAGACGGTGGCATAAATAAAAATGTCGGTATGAGACTTAACCTGTCAAACTATTCTCTGGTTAAAAATTAATTTTTGACTTTCCTATTAGAATTTATTTTATATCTAAAAAGTTTTAAATCTAGCAGGAAAATGTCATCAATGTATTTGATAGAGGTTTTTAGTTTAACACATCAAATCATTTACATTTAATCTCCAGTTATTATTTATTTATGTTTTAGAGATTCCTGCTGCTGCAGCTCTCTTATTCTACCCAAAGTATTTTGTATTTGTGTATAATGCAGTCCTCACTGGGCAGCCTGGCCCCAGACTCCATGATAAACAGGCTCTACCAGTGCATGTGCAGCATCGAGCCAGGACTGGCGACGCCTGCAGCCGCTGGGAAGATGAGCACCTCTGCTGCATCTGGAGTCGGTCGTGAGCAGATGGTCATCTTCCTGGCAGACACCCTGCGGGGAACTGCAGAGGAACGGGCTCCTCTTGTCATGTCCATGTCCCGTCGTGGGACGGAGGCGGCAGTCACGTGTGAGCAGGTCGCAGAGGTGAGAAGAGGTGGCGTTTTAAATCTTGTCCCAACCCTCACGTATCGCTCCATCCTTCCCTTCTCACACCGGACTTTGACCCTTTTTCCCATCAGTTCCTGCAGGACCTAATCTCTGCTGTAGTTCAGATTCTGGTCCACAGAGGGCGCCTGCAGGGCTGGAAGCCAGAGAGAATGGGTGATGTCTCCCAGGGCGTCAAACTCCTGGCGGAGCAGATGTGTTCTGAACTCAAACCTGCAGGTAAATAAATGAGGTGAAGACTTGTGGACATGTTAACAGAAAGTAAACGTGACTGATTGAAGCTGATTCTGTTCCTCAGACGAAGGTTGTGATGTCTCCTGTCTGGAGGACTGGATCTTCAGGGTCTCCCAGGTATCTCTGTACCTGGAGATGCTGGTCGCTGAGGGCCTGAACGTGTCTCTGAGTGGACGGCCGGCCCCCACCCTGCTGCCTCCCTGCAGGGAGACGCCCTGGAAAGATCTCAAGTGTCTGCTGGACCTTCCCACCATCATGTTTCTGGCACCACAGGTCAGAATCCAAACGTTTACTTTGTCACGTGTGTGATTCTGACTTAAATTACTTCACTTATTCTACAAAAGTTGTTTTTAACTCTAATAATCTCTATTTAATCTTTCCAGTTGCCAGACAGCTACAGCGCCCCCTGGAGACTTGTATTTTCCACACAGCTGCATGGGGAGAGCTTCACCAGGATGGTGAGCGGCCTGACGAAGCACGGGCCGACTCTGCTGCTGGCCAAAGACTCAAAGGGACACACCTTCGGGGGCTTCGCCTCCCACACGTGGGAGGTCAAACCTCAGTTCCAGGGTGAGACAGGAGATGCCACTGAAATTAAAGCAGTGAATAAAATGAAAGTAGTCGAGGAGGAAGTAATCATCTGTGTTTGAACACTGTGTCACTTGACTCGTCTCAGATCTCCATGATTTGTATATTTGTGTTTGAATGTGCAGGTGACTCCAGATGCTTCCTGTTCACTGTGTTCCCCAGACTGAGAGTTTACACAGCCACAGGATACAACCAACACTTCATGTATCTCAACCAGAATCAGCAGACCATGCCCAACGGACTGGTGAGCAGGGACGAGTTCATTCTGCCAGTTATTATCAGACAGAGCTGAGATGTAATGGATGAAGATTGCTTTCAGACACTGATCGTGTTTCTGATTCAGGGGACTCGTTATTAAAGCCTCTGTTACAGTCGCCCTCTGACCTTTTATATTATTAGAACATTGCAGCGTTAACTTCTCAACACTTTGATACTAATTTATTTATTTGTACAGTAACATATTATTACCCGTGTTCACGCTTTACGTCTTCCTTCACCAGGGTATGGGTGGTCAGCATGGCTACTTCGGCCTGTGGCTGGACTGTGATTTTGGCCGTGGTCATAGCCGTGCACGACCCAAGTGCACCACCTACGGCAGCCCTCAGCTGTCTGGAGAGGAGGACTTCACCCTGGACTCAGTGGAAGTGTGGGCGGTCGGAAAACCCCCGGAACCAGAGGAGGTCAGAGGACATGTTCAGTTCTTCTTTTTCTACTCTTATATCCGTCCCAGCGACACGCAGTGGCCAGAGGGGTTGTGTTTTCAGGTTGTCCGTCCGTCCCATTCTTGTGAACACAACGTCTCAACAACAACGTTCGGTTTGACTCAAAGATGAACTGATTATGATCTGGTGGTCAAATGTCACTGTGCCCTCATATTATTGTTAACACGATATGTCGGGGACACCCGGAGGGACTGAAATTACACGTTGATAGTTGTCAACATGATCCAGCCGTCTCCCATCGTTTGTCCTTTTCTCGTGTGTCTCAGGATGAGGAGGCGAACAGAAAGAAGAAGAGCGTCCTGGATTCAGACCTCGAGGTCAAGGCCATGATGGAGATATCAGGGAAGACTCTGCACAGTCAGGGCCTCAGGGAGCCGGAGGAGGACGACGAGCAGTGAGGGACAGGAAGACAGAGCTAAACTAAGCTAAGCTAAGCTAGTACGCGGTCTGCAAAGTGGGAGTGGCCTCAGTCGACCAGAGAGCACAGAATCCACATCGTCACCTGAAGATCTAAATTAAAGACACTATGGATTATACATAAACGTGTGTGTGTGTGTGTGTGTGTGTGTGTGTGTGTGTCAGTGTTGTTTTTATTAAAGCTACCTTCACTTCATCACTGAACCGTGTTAGTTCACTTTTATTTGACTTTTCCAACCTTCCTGTAAAACATCAGTATAAACATAATCCACCAGCGTGTCGTCGCCGAGTGGCAGGTAACCTTGTATTCACCCCCCCACCCCCACCCCTCCCCCCTCTGTGCTGCCAACATGCAAATTACTGAAACACGTTACAAATGCAAATCTGTGGTTTAATCTCACAGCAGTTGACACAGAGAAAGATCCACAAAGAACATTAATGCTCCTCGTTCACATCCCACAGATGTGAAAATATTAGAGACCCAGTAAATGATGGGGCGGATTAAAATGACGAGATTGGACGTTTTTCCTTGATTTTTCACAGATGAATTGATGGATCTTGATGAAAACTGATGAAAACTGATATTTCCATTTGATTTGGTGCAGATCCAGAGAAGAATCTGGATCTAGTGAATTTAAATGTGTTTTCAAAGGGAATGAGCTCTACTGAGAGACACTGTAGTTACAGATTAAACCGTTTGTATAATAAGTTAAATGAGCGACTTCACTAAAAGACTTGACTGAAAGCATCCGTTGATACAAAGTGTAATCCTGCAGCATTTTACTTTTTATAAACTTTTAGATTTAACAGTTGCTCGGGTGTTGAGTCTGAGTTTTCCCTCCACCACTGATAATTTCCCGAAGCAGATCCCTCCCGTAACTTTTTCTTTTCACTCTTTTATTTAAAGCTGAGCTCGTTTTACGTGAATTAAATTATCCGCAGAGGTTAAATTTCCAGCCTCAGTGAGAGAATCTTTAATTCTGTCTCTTCGTCGTCTGAGGTCAAAGTTGCAGCTCTTGTTTCTTGTGCAGTGTAGTTTGCATAGATACCGTCCTTTCTTCCGGCCTTTTTTCTTTTCTTTTTTTTCCTGTGTGTCTATAATGCAAGTTAACTTTTACTTCCTCGTCCTCTCAGATAGAGGAACTGACCGTTTTGCGGCTGGCCTTTCTGTCAACACTTCACATCCTCTGCTGCTTCATCTCACAACTTTCAAATCATGATCAGATAGAAAACTGCAGAGCTGAAAACAACCAACTTCACTTGTAAAGGTGAGTTTTTAATTTTCAATATTTGTTTTGGAATATTCAGCAGCTTCGTGTCAAACTCGTGTTGAGTCAGTGAGAAGTGAGAAGAGGGAAATACGCCTGTTTTTCTTTTTCTTCTTTTACTAGCAGCATATCTGCGGCTCTGCAGATGATGATGTGTGTGACCACGCTCGTCTCTGCTCCGTCTCCCCGGCTCCATGACCACAGGCTCATGTTGTTTTCTGGAGTTACAACTTCATTAAATAAGAATAATATGAATATAAACTTCATTTATTATTCATATTTCAAACAGTTTTCGACAATGCAGGGTTTAGCAGGTGACCACATGGTGTCTATGAAGAGCAGTGGTGTTCTCCACGTTTATACGATAGTAAAGAGATGGAGGAGCCCTCCGCCCTCAGGGCTGCAGGCCCCATCAAAGCACGTCTCAATGTGCGATTCAGCTGCTACTGCTCCGCGGATTGTTGATAAAAATGTTGACTCTGCATCCGGAAAGTGAAGCCAATGTGGAAGTTCCTAAAACCTCTGTTCTATCGACCAGCAGAGGGCGACTGGAAAATAAATGAGTTTCTATAGAAAGAAAGAATCTTGAATTTGCCTCTGAGGGTAACAGACAATATACACAAACTTCTTCCACACACACACACACACAGTAATACTTCTTGTCCATGTTTTAGGTCCAGATGTCACTTTGGCTAATCAGCAGCTCTCTCACTATGAACGCAGATAAATTAAAAGCTGAGAGATGCTGCTGCACTTTGGTCAAAGGACAGTTTACCAACAGGAAACCAGCGCTGCTCAAATGTGATTAAACTAAAGAACAAGGATTCTAGTCCCAGATTATCCCCCCCCCCTCCCCCGATTTCACATTGAATCTATTCACATGTAGAATCTGTTTATGTAGAAAATGACTCCTGCGGTAGTTTCTATAGAAAATGTGTTTCCCCTTCTTACTTTATCACGTCAGTAAACTTTGTCCTCAGGAGTTTTTGTCTCAGTCTCTAGTTTCAAGTCTTCTGCTGATGTTTATTTATTCAATTATGATCATTTAGAGTCAAACAGACCAGAAAGCCTCCAAATGTTGTTTCTTCAGGTTTCAAAAAACCAAGATGGTGCCGAGCACAATGTTAAACAGTGTTGACTCTTGGTCTCATAGCATCCGAGACAACATGACGCCGTAACACGCTTCAACTTTGTGTTGAGTAAAAGTTTTATATTTAGAGTAATGATATTTCAGTTAGGTGCCGACGTTTCTAAAATTCTTTTGTAAATAGATTGATGATGAGAAAAATACTTATTTTAGTTTTTATCTGCAACAAAAGAAAATGTGGAAAAAGTGGAGGCGTCTGAATACTTTGTGAAAACACTGTAAACACTGAGAAACCTGGATGTTATTGTATTTTTATTTTTAGTTACTCTTATTTTAAGACACTTGCATGTTGAGTTGCTGGAGGTGCCTGGGATTTAAGATTTTCATTTTGTGCAGATGACGATAAAACCTTTGAACCTTTGAATATAACAACGAACAAGCGCTCTTTGCTTTTCTGACATGAAGTTTATGATTAACTTATCTATCAACTATTTCCCTGTTTTCCAGTTTAACCTTCAGACAAATACTGTTTTCCTCATACTGCTGCAGCAGCCGCACACAACGCTGAGCCACTACGGTCATATATGAACAAACCACATCAGGAACATCAGTGTTTACTGTACATGAACCAGGATGTGATGAATCTAACGGTGTTTCTCTGCGACAGTGACAGTTGATGTTTTAAAGTCAGATGAACGCTCTAATTCTTCCACAGACTTCAGTAGAAACTGAACTCTTTTAAAATCAGCCCTCTTTGCTCCAGAGAATACAGGTTTCAGGCACTTCTGCATTTGGCTTCACTCTTTCCGTCTGGTCGACGTCCATTTTTATAAACAGTCCGTGGATGAAACAAGCTTTGCACCTGGATTTGGATGTTTTCTGTTATTGTTCTATGCAAAATCCTGTCAAGCTCCTTGTCTGGTGTCCGGAGAGGATCCGTTGGGTTCTGACTGCGTTCTGTAACTCGACTGTCTCTGATTTCCCAGCAACACTAGTGCTGACTTCAAGCATGACATCATCAGTGGTGGACTACAGCGTCTCTTTTTCATTTCCTTCACTTTGGCCTCCACAGTTTAAAATAATCTTCTTCACAGACTAAGACTCATGCTCCGTTTTTTAAAAAGTGTTGGTGACAACATTTTGATTGGTCTCACTGGACATGCTGGTCACGATGATCTCGCCCCCGGCCCTTGACATAAGCGATTCTTTCTTCTAGATCAGTGAAGTGAAGCTGCCACAGTTGGACCAGTTGTCCTGGACGTTAGCCACTTCTTCGACAGTCGCGACACAAAGAGCTGGTCTCAGATCAGGCCCCGGCTCCACAGTGGCCCTCGAATTGCCCTGTGGTGGAGAAGTTGTATCTGAGGTCCTCAGTGCTCAGGACCTGCAGGTTTTATTCAACTCTGAATTTAATTTATCTTCCATCAACTCCGACCAGCCCCTCTGTTCCTGTCCCCCACAACATGACGCTGCAGCCGCCATGTTTCACTGTTAGTAGACGAACATCACGCTTAGTTCTGAGCTGACGCTGACTTGCGATTGGTCGGCTCCGCTCCACAATCACTTCCGACTCATCCACACGCTCCTCAGAAAGGAGCATTTCCCAGGTTGTGAGGTCACAGTGTGGAAAAAGCATGGACGCTGTGAACACTGTGTGTTGTCTCTATTTGTTTAGAGGGTTTCCCATATTTGCATCTTGGTATGACAGGCATGTAAGTTATTTAAAATGTGCATGTAAATAATGTCAGCTCTAAAGAGCGGTGTGAGGAGACGGACGTGCAGTTTGCAATGACGAAGGTTTGACACTTGGGTCAGGGTTGAAAACATTCAAGGACAATATTAGGAGCTGATTGTAAAATGATGTTGTTTGGTTTATAAGTGATGACGACAGTAACTCGCTCCGACCTTTAGTGGAAAATGACTCATTAGTAGTTTAGTTGTATTTTTTTCCACAGAACTCCTCCTGTGGTGTGTTGTTTATATCTCACTCTGCTCATTTGCAAGTTAAATACTGGGTAAAGTGCGGTACCACAGTGAACACTGACCCACACACGTATGTGCACACGCTAAATGTGTTTTGTCATCTACATGTCCCTCATGTTAAAGACCGCTTGTCCAGTTTGAAGACATGTTGTTATTTTAGTCAAATCAAAACCACCTCATCCTCATTGCACCACCAGCTTCTCTTATTTCCTCCTCCAAATAAAGAAACAGAATAAAGACACGTAACATAATTATTAAGGACATGGATGATGTTTAGACTGAAGGTGGCGGGTCTCAGTTGAAGAGGAAGCACAGAAACATGAGCCAACAGCCGAGCAGGAGTCCAGAGTTCATTCATACTTCAACACACTGAGGAATCACGTAACATGTCTTTATATTTTCAAAGCTAACGCTCAGTTTATTATTCAAGAGGACCACGAGAGGGGGAGACTCCACTTCTCACTTTACTTATCACGTCAGCAAATATCTTCCTGCGGAGATATAGAACAATGGGCGTGGACACCAAAGTGTGATTGACGGCCAGTACAGTCCAATGAGTGCAGGTGGCAGGTGAGATCTCAGTCAGGCTCCACCCCCTGCTCCTCCAAATATGGTATCCTCTGGTTTTAAAAAGCAGTTTGAGCGCAAACGGAGCAAATCCAAGCACAAGCACAAGCACAAGCACAAGCACAAGCACAAGCACAAGCAGGGCCTATTTGAATGTGAGCGCAGGGTTTCGAGTGAGAGCATTTTAAAATCCCAATGTGAAATCCTGCTCTCTGACTGAACGTCCACGTTCTTGAATAAAAAAAGACGTCTCAAAA